TCAAGTTGTATTTCCAATACATTAATTTTTATATGCTGCTATAAACAAATATAGTTTTATATATATATATAAAAGTATAATGCTGAAGAACACTGGAAGAATTCAAGAGTCTAATTCACCTTTTATACACAATCTTCAAGTCTTTCCACTCTAAGAAAGAGCACATTTTTGGTTTTCTTGCCAAAATTGTTGTGATTAATTCCCTGGTAATTTTCTTTTTCTGTTTGTCAGGGTGAGCCACATACCATTTTTGGAGCCGTAACTTCCCTTGCCGACTAAAGAGCAGCATAAACTGCAACTACAATCAAAATTTTCAAAACTTTATGATTTCAAAAAAAAAAGGAGAGAAAAAGACAGTCCATTACATATATAGAAATCAGTCAAATTTCAAAAAAATTAATTTTACAGCAACCCATATGGTAATTTCTTTAGTAGTCTGTTTATTTTTTGTGTATTTTTCATTTAAAAAGACATCACTAAGTACACAATTTAAACTCTGTGGTTGAGTTCATACATAAAAGCTTTATCAAAAGGTTCAAAAATGTGTGTTACAAGAAGGAAAATAAACCTTCAGTGTAAATTATATGTTTAATAACAGGGTCCTAAAATGATTTTCTGGCATACCTACAGAAAATAGTTTGATCCACCTTTTAATAACCTAATTATGAATTTATATAAATTGCAAAATGTTAATATAATGTGATTAGTCAGAAAGAGGTTTGTACTAAGTGTTGATAACTGGTAATAGCAAACGATACACACATGAATAATACTGTTAAGCAGGGATAAGTTGTGCCCTATTCAAGATTATGAAAATTGAGTAATCTTGTATTATCTTTTACTTAATTCACGATAACACTTCAACCACGGAGTCAGTCCATTTGACCAATTCTATCTGTGAAGCTATATATAATACTGTTTACTACAATTCCAAATGCACCGCATGTATCATCACAAAATTTGGCAAGCTTTTAGTTAACATTAAGTATGGTGTTCCAAAGCCTTTACTGAGACCATCTGAGTGAACATGCTCAGAATAAAAATACTTTTCATCTTATGGTTTTCATATTTCATTTGCATAACCTATAGAAACTCCTAAATAAATATCAAAAATGATTCTTTAATAAAACCTAATATTCTATTTCTATATTTTCTATACCTTAACATTAGTGAAACCATCAATGTACATTGAAATGAAAAGTTGAAAAAATATGAAATTAAATGAGTAATACCTTTTTTGCCGATTTTGAATGCATAATTTATTTCAGATTTTAAAATTACTTGTGTTCACAATTTCAACTATTAACCTTTTCACATCTGAACCTTTTAATTTTATGCACTTTACTGCTTGTTTTTTGAACCACAGGAGCAGAGTGTTTCCTGTAGAGCTGGCACAAACTGTACACGATTTTGCACCCAGGTCATAAGACTCATTTTTTCTCACACATTTGTTTGTTGAGAAAGGAACTTATGTAGCCTTCAAATATGCATTTTAGAAAACAAAAAATATCAGTCTTTAGTACAGAATGGCCCTGAAATAATATCTGGCTTTCTTAATATACCATAAATAGGTTAAAAAATGAGTCTTAAGCAGAGGAACATCTGCTCTTCCTATCTGGTACTTAAATGTACATCATCCGTGTAAAGTTAAAATAGCAAACAATCTACAAATTTTGAGAGATGGGGGAGGGGCTCCTCAAGTTGGTTTAACAAATTTATTGATATCTCAGAAAATATTAGATTTTTGCTTGCAATTATTTATAGTTTGTATTTCTTAATAGTTGGAACTATAGAAACCTATTATTGAAATTATAAATTTCTGAAATTGAGAAATAAAGCTCAGACATGATCTTCATTTTTAAATATTTTTTTTTTAAATAAATTAAACTGAGATGATATAAAACTTTGAATTATAAACTACATTTTCATGCCACGTTTATTGAAATACATTGATGATAATGTAGTTTAATTATATCTTGATGTAGAACTGTAAAAGGTCATGACAAGTACACTTTGACACAACTGTAGCATTGGAGTTAACAGCCAAATTTGAAACAATATACAAAAGAAAATACAAAGTTAAACTCTTAACAGTTTTTCTAGGAGACCACTAGTAGGGGTGGGAATGACAAAAATGTTGTATTGCAATATCTGTAACTATACTGAAATATGTACTGTTAATATATTGCACAAAATCTTTGCTTACTAAGGTCATTTTGTCTATACACTGGTTGACTAGGCATCATTCACCTTAGTTTGCAACATTTTGTACCACTGGCGAATTGCATGATGTATGCCATTAAAATATATATACAGCTTGCTCTAAAAAAAAAGCATACATCAGGAACTATTGTTTTAAGCTAAATGATACAACATCAATCATTGTAGTGTTAACTATATTTAACAGGGATTTGTTTGATAGCTTAGCTTAATATTATGATATTTAGGACAGTATGTCTGGGAAACTTCAATTATAGCCTAATATGGGGATCATCTAGAAATGTAGTGCCACAAGTCAAATTCAAATATATGCCAAAACAGAGATGTTGAGTTTACCTTACAAGTTATTCATACTTCATTTAACCTGTAATATATACAACTAAAGCTTTTGTGGTTTTTAAGATACGTCAAAATAAACAAATGAATGCCAAAAGAATGCAATCACAAGATAACCCATATCTTGTGTTTGAGTTGGCAAGAAAGTACATAGCTACATAATTCAAATACATATTTTGACAAACCATTTGGCCATAAATTGTTTAAAAATGTTACATGTGTATATATTTTTCTTCTATCCTGAAATTACTGTCCATCGATGAGAATGTGCTAACAGCAGCACTTGATGATAGAGCTGGTTGATTATATCTGTTACTGATGTGTAAAAGAATTGATTAATCAAAACTATGATTAAATCAAATTTCATCTGAGAATAATTAAGTAAACATATTGTTATATGCTTACCACTGGGGTGTGAACTGCAATGCAGTTGTAAAATCATGGACTCATAACTGTTAGTTATTTGTTTGATATGCCTGACTTTATGCAAAAATGGTTAGATAGTTCTGAAAATTATTGTTCTGGTGTAAGTTAAATATATATCACTATATTAACCATATCTACATGGGTGAGTGTCAAAGTGAATATATCACAATCTTTTACAGTTACATTCAAATTTTAAACTACTCTATTATCAATGTATATAAACAAATTTGACATTAAAATGTAATTAATAAATCAAATTTTTTATACAAGTTTTGATTTCTTCATTTTAAAAGAACATATTTAAATAAATTCTCAGTCTTCGGTTCTGTATATCACATGACACTTCTTTGCTCATTTTAGATGTTCTTCCTACAATATTGTTCATTACAAACACACACAAAATGCAATTTGAGTTCCTCAAGTTCAGTGGGCACCATCACACTGATGCTCAAAAGCATCTATATAATGGGTTTTGCAAAGGACTTTTAGTCCCTATCAAGTCTATCCTGACACCCATTCTTTTAGGCCCACTAATGGTTATTTTATTATTACCAAGAAGTAAATACTTTTGAATGCATATCCTGTTGTTGCATTCCTTATGGCATCAGCCATACAATCAGCTGTTGTTTGTATATACAGACAAGCTCACAGGTAACTCCATGTGATCCTGTTGGCTGCTATGACTCTAATACATTAATTTTAATTGGCCTAGAACTAGTATTATTACAAGCATAGTAATATGACATTTTCAAAATATACAGTTGTACACAAACGTCATATATTTGTAATCGAGAAACTATGTCAAAGTTTTAAAGTTTACATTACAAAACTAGATATTAATTATTAGTAAATTCTGACTCGCAAGAAAAGTTTTAGCAAATTTTTATCATGACCAAAACTGCATTTGATGAACTACTTTCTGCATGATACAAGGCCACAGGGGGGCTGGTTGGAGGTTGTCATAGTTCAGCGGCATACTGTTATATTTATATATCTCAGTTTAGCCAGCAAAACTCTGATTTGTTGATAGAAAACAGTACAATTTGGTTAATACAAATTAACATTTACTGTCCAATTCTGTAAACAAAGAATCACAATACAGCATAAGCCCACTAACAAACCCTATGGAATGTTTTGGCGGGGCTGTTTACAGCACCCTCGTACATTTGTCAAATGTGAATGACTGCAATTTTATTTTGGTTTGCCAGATCCATTTGTCTTACTGAGTGTCAAGTATTCAAAGAACTATCCCAAAAACCATGGTTACTATAATATTACAAGAATAACTTTCATGTGGAATCACTGCTATGTCTGCAACACCCAAGGAGTTTAAGAAGAAACTGGATGAGTATTTTAAAGATCAGAGTTAAATATAGACAAATGATTTCTACATATAGTTTGGAATAGGATAATAGTAGAAAATGGGATAGCCTATATGGACCTAATGGCCTTATTTCAATACTTACAGGGTAAGTGATAATGAAGCAGGAAACAACAAAAAATTCTAAGATACAATGTACAGATAATGAGTGATTAACCTGTTATATTCACTTTTTGACTGGTAGTTTGCTCATCATATATTCTGAGTGAGAAAGGAGTTAGATAATTTGATTGGTAGCATATGCTATGATAGTTGCTAAATTTTTTGTACATACCCATGCAAGTGATGTAGGTAATGGAAGATCTTAAATATGAAATTTGCTAAAGGGGTTTGATGATAAGTAACCCAAGTAAATGTGTCAGGAATTCTTTACAAAACCTGGTTGTGCAGGAGATGTCTTACATTTCATAAAAATTAAATGGGGTTTAAATGGGTTGGGAAGCACAGAGTTTGGAGTAATCTAAATTACTTCACTGAAAATTGCTTGAACAGGGAGTGTCAAGAAATGCTAAGAATTAATGGTTAGGAACTAGTCAACAGATAATAGAATTCAGCAAAAAATCAACAAACTGAATTCAGAATATCTGCTTTAAAGTAAAATTAACTTGGTAACACATTTGAGAAAAAGCAAATGATTTTTTTTCTCTATTGTACACAGGGTTTATAAAATGTACATGCATAGATGAGCTTGGACAAGTACATATTCAGTGAGGGTAACTACATTTTTCCTGGTATTTAGCTGCAGGGCAGCCCTAAGCTGAGGATTTGAAAAATAACTAAGAGCTCTGGGAAAATAATAATAACAACACTAAACTGAAATTCATGCTAAATGTATTTTGCATCCACTAATGTCACATAGGCTTTGTGATTGATCAAATCATTTCAATATAATCTATCACAAGTCTTTGCAGATTCGACACATCACAGAAAGTTACAATTTTCCTGCACTGAAAATATATATTTCTGACATATACTTTTTTCTGCCCACATACATAGCTATTCTCATTCAGTGCTGCCCTCTATTTGCAAAATTTGTTTTGCATGCCACAAGCCTTTCACTCCTATGTACCCCTTGGTTCACATGGTTTAACCAATTCATGCATGTAAATCATCATGCAACAAATGACGTGCCCCATGCAGGTCTCAGGTGGAGACCTTGACGGGGTATTTTCGGCAGTCTCTGATTCATCCTATCCCTTTTATCCCCCACCTAGTTTTCCAGTTTCATCTTACCCTATTGACTCTCCTACTGGACATGTCTACCTTACACCTCCTTTCTCAGGTATTCTACCTGTATCTAGGGGATTTTCGTGGGTTACTTCCTCCTCCTTCCCTATATGTTTATGGATTGCAGTGGGTGAACTTGATAGTTGCTCTACTTCTTGCTCTTGCCGTACCACTCAGTGTCTTTATTCTGAGGATATTACTGCTTTTGGGGTGGTTCCAGTCAGTTTTATTTCATGAGGATACATATGTACTTCATTCTGCTCACGTGCCTTGTTTACAGATCATCAGTTGGCTGAACTTGAGGTGAAGATGGTATGATCCTCTTTCCTACCCCCGCATGGATGTCAGTTCCCAGCCATCAAGTTTTGGATGCAGTTGACTTGCCGTGTACAATCCGTCACTCCTTAGCCACTCTACACATTGGGACACATCCCTTCTTTTACCCATATTAGGATGTGCTCCTCAAATTTGTCCGCCCAGATCAGTCGCACCTTTTCCACATCTGGGCAAAGAGTATACCTGGTACAGAAGTGGTGTGGTCTTCCACATATTAACTTCTTTGGGATGTCCTTTGGACGCTTTTGAATAACGTTCTATTTTCTACCTTGCACCAGTACATCCACCTATTCAATGTGGGATTCTAACTATGTATGTGAGGGGAAGTAAGGTACCTTGTCAGAAGTTAAAATTTTTCCTACACTGAAAATATATTTCCGACACGTACTTACTTCCGCTCACACTTCCCATCCTTCCTCCCCACTGTCCACCAATGCTTAGCTTTCTGCCTAAACATGAAGTAATAGTTAGGTAGAATGGCAAAAAGGGAGTCACGTGTGTGTGGGGCACATCTATTGGTGTAGGTTTGTTGCATGATGATTTGCATGCATGAATTGGTTAAACCATGTGAACCGATGGGTACGTAGGAGTGAAAGGCTGAAAGCACTGAACGATAATAGCTATGTATGTGATCAGAAGTAAGGTACCTTGTTGGAAAATTTACAAATGCAGACAAAATGACTTAAATATAGTAGATGGTACACATGTAATCTAGAAACACTTACTTCTTAAAAAAGCTAATACTTACCATTTTCAACTTCTTGAAAGTTTTACCTAAGATAGGTGTTTCAAAAAGTTTCCTCTTAACACCTGGCTAACTGGAATACTGAAAGAATCTGAAGTCATAAAACGTTTTTCTGAAATATGATGAAAGAACAAACATTTCAATTATTAACACTACCTTGAATTACCCCTATTAAATATATATATATATATATATATATATATATTTGTCAAGATGCGTATGAGCAACTAACTGGTCAAGAAAGCTGGATCATTGCTGTGTGTTTGAAAAATGGACAGGGTTGTAAACAGACTCTGTCAATCAGTCCAATGATACTGTTAGTATTTTTAGTTTTTTTTTTCCCCCATTGTAGTTTCTAAGAGGTTTGAATATTTTAGAGGATAACTATGCTGCAAGTAACAAAGTAACACATTCACTTTTAATTTATTATTTTAAAAAGAAAATCGTATGGTTGAAGTTCTGTAATTAAGCCCACTTTCTTGAAGCACTTACTGATTAGATAATTAGAAATAAAGTTACATGTAAATGCTAGTATAAATATACTTGTTTAATAAACAATAACCATAATTACTATCTTCAAAGACAGGTATTTACATATTGCCTTGAAGGGTCGCTACTGCAAACCAGAAGATAGTTTAACAAGGTGAAACAACTAGGTTATGATTAAAGTTTTTGAAAAACATTTACAAACTGTTAGTTAATATATCTGTTATTTTAAATTGAAACAGCATTGATACATTTTCTTAAAATAATTTCAATAAAATGTTTATAATGAATTATAAAATACACAAACATATAATTCACATATGTCAGATCACTGGGCCAATGAATGGCATTTGAGAAACTAATCAAAGCATTGTGTAAACATAGTACTAGGGTCACTGGAAGTTATAGTTATCATTAAACTGAAATTTGCAACACAAGGTTATTTCCCATAAATGTAACAAATTGTACTGTTCTTTCTTTTTGTTATTTTCTAAATCTCTTCTGTAACATGCAAAAATAATGAGCATCATGTTCTTTCTTCATGAAGGTTGTAAACAGCACTCACTAAACAGTATTTACAGGGGGCTTGTGGTTGACATCACCCATCAAAAAAGAAACACTGCTGGTCAGGCTTAAATAAACAATGGGTAGGTGCTTGAAGAATTGTAGTTACTGATGCTTCTCCTAATTTTATAAGAAATGACAGCAGTTGCCCTAAAAATTATAGACCAATTATTCTTACTTTTACAGAGGGAAAATTTTTAGAGAACCTAATTAAAAACAAGCTTTATAAAGTAATTTAGTGATATAGAGTATGATGTCGTAATTGAAAATCAACATGGATTCATTAAAGGGGAAATTTGCTTTACAAATTTGTTAACATTTTTCAAGGGTGTTACTTATCTGGATAATGGAATGGGTATGGACTTGGTATACAAAGATTTTCAAAAATCTTTTGAAAAAGTGCCACACAGAAGATTAGCTAAGAATATCAAAATGATAAGTATTTGGAGAAAGACTAATTATATTAACTGTAGGATATATGGGTGGGAGAAAGCAAAAGCTTGTTATTAATGGAATCCAGTTATACTAGACTCTTGTTAATATTTGGGTACCACTGCATAGACTTTTGGTTTTTCATATTTTCATTAATGATACTGATAAGACATAATTAGTAGATCAATAAAGTTTGCTAATGGCATTAAACTTTTGGGTATTTCTAGATGTATTGTGAATGTTGAGTTATCACAAACTGACATTATTCAATTAGTAAGTTGAATAAATATTTGGTGAATGAACCATAGTTATAGTAAGTCAAGGTAATACTTGATCACTCTAATATATATGGGAACTCACTGAATAGCATGACCAAAAAAAGGCATCTTGGTATAAAGGTGGAATAGCCACTCAAACCATCGAAGCGATGTTTTTTTGCTACGAGTAAAGCTAAGAGAATTTTAGGATGCATTTATAGATATTAATTATAAGTTGAAAGAAGTAATTATTTCTATATACAAATCACTTGGCCTCACTTGGAATAGTGTGCACAACTTTAGCCTCCTTAGCTGAGAAAGTACACTGACTTATTGAAAATGGTTCACTGAAAAGCTAATAAGATGATTTGTAGGATGAAAGGTTATCCTTATCTCTCAGTCTTTTCACCTACTATCATGGGATTAATATCTACATAATTCAGATCAATTCCAATACTTACCATAGAATTCTCATTCAGGAATATGCATAATATCTTCTCTTGCAAAATAAAAACAGAAATCAAAAGTAAATCTCAGCCATCTCACACAGTCTTCAACAAAAACCTTACAATAAGCATCCTTTAATTAAAGTTTCAATACCCATTTTAAACATTCTCTTTGCCTTTAACATATTTGAACATTATCAGCCAGCTGTTTCTTATAAATTTCTTTATTTCCTAATTTCTTTTTATCCAAATCCATAGTTTTCCTATAATTCTGTACATCCTACAACCTATCAAACAATTATAAAATCATCATCCATCTCCAATTTTTGAATCCACATCCTTATTGGCAGTAACAACAGACCTAAAATGCATCCCTCTGGTTGGCTCTCTGACCATTTGGCATTGAAGACTATCCTGAATCACTTAAAGATACCCCTGTGCTGCTCCACCTGACTTCTTATGATTCTAATCACTATATCTGAACTTAATGTATCCAATAATTATTCTATTAGTATCCTTATTAATAAAAATCCTGATCTCATAATACAATTTCTCAATTATATCATCTGTCTGCTCCTGTGACAGTGTGTAACAAATGCTAATGAAACCCTGATGGTAACCATACAGTTTCAACCTCTTGATTATCCTTTTTTTTTCTGTCTTCAGTCTCAAAAGGCTATAGTGCTCCTCTTGTATTTAGAGCCACTCCACATTCTCTTAAGCCTATCACTATTATAAAACTTATACCCCAGAATTTCAAAGCAACTTCTATTATCAATGTTCTTCAAATCTAGCCAAGTTTCAATAATCCCCATTATACTACATTCTTCCATTTCCATCAATTCCTAACTCAAATGTTTTCCAAATTGTGTATCGTGACTAGTTGATAGGGGTGTCACAAATTTCACCAAATGAAGAATAATTAAGAACAAAATAATAGTACATGCGGCAACAGGAGTGTTGTGCAAATCAAGATAAGTAGATTAGGGTGTCATCAGTGAAAAAAATTTGGAAACCACTGCCTAACTCATAGTTTTATCTCTAAAATTTAAGCTCATACATAAAAGGATCCCAACAATTATATTTACATCCTCTCAAAAATTTAACACTACAGTTCCTGGACATGAGCCAGTTTAACTTTAAAAGTTCTTATGCTGGTTATGCCTGTACTTGAGCCAGCAACGCCTCTCATATTAACTTCAAGTAATAAAAACCGGTCAAAGAAATATTCAAATTTCGAAATCCTCAAATATGATATATTACAATTTAAAAATTGTAAGTTATTTATAAGCTTTTTCTTTTTGCCAAGGAACGCACCCGTAAACGTATTGAAACTATGAAAGTATATCACTTTTAAGTTTTAGTAATAGTAGTACTAGGTAATTCAGTACATAACTACATTATCATCACTAAAAACTTGTAAAACTGTAATTTATAAACTAATTCGTAACTTACAGCATATTCCATTGTAAATGTAACACAGCATTACAACTTACAAAGAAAAGTAACGCAGAGATTTAAATTCCTATTAAGTTTTCGCACAACCAAATAGTATTACTATTAGTTATAAACCTACCGAGTCCTATTCGTACGCACAAGGTTACTGTGGTTAGGCCTAGTACTAACAGTAGTACGACTATCTATATTCGATATAGTGTAGTATATTAATAATATAAATATATATTGCATTCATATTAAACCAGTTTCTTTACTGTATCAGAGTACCATACAGCAGCTATATACCAAATTTGCGTAAAATGTAGAACGTATTCTTACAATCGTACATTAAGAACACATAGAATTTTAGAAACCTACGTAAGATTTCAGAAGTTCAAGCTACTTACGTACCAACCTTACGCCATGCCTGTAATTAGTGACATCATCCTTACTTTAACTGTTCAACGTCACATGCTCATACTCACTGGTGGCAAGACCAAACATATATATGATTTGATCAAATGGACGATGTTGTTCGATTTGATGTACCATTTTGTCTTTCTTTTCTTTCATTTGTAGCCACAGCTAAGACACACCATACTTTACAAAAGGAAAACTCTGTCTTACTAAAATTCAAGTATAAATACCCACAATGTCCTACATGTTAACTTTTTTAGGATGTTACTTCTTACCTGTATGACTGTAAAGGATTGTTTGTTTGAATTTATCCACAAAGCTACACAATGGGCTATCTTTGCTCTGCCCACCATGGGTATCGAAACCCGGTTTCTAGCGTTGTAAGTCCGCAAACATAACGCTGTGCAACTCTAAAGGAGTTGTTACGTCTATGTTCGTTTGTTAATTTCCCGTATAATTTCTTTCCGATGAAACTTAGCGATGCAAGTCCTTTCTTAATTAAAACTAGTTTATTCTTTCTCGATACAACTTTGCAATACAAAGATTTTCCACAGTCACTTTAAAGTTAACTACTTTATAAACACACGCTATAATTCACAACGATTCACGCATTTTACTTACGATGCCTACTGCTCGCTTGACTCAATTATCTATCTCTATATCTATCTATCTGCAATTATTTGCCGGGCTTATATGCTAAAATAGAGGGTGCCTGGAAAAGACTAGAGTTGCCAGGAAAAGTCAAGATCCTTTGAGAATATCACGAAGTGTTACCAGCGTCACGTGACTTCCGCTGTAGTAACAATATTCAGTTCTGAAAATGTCTGCAGGGTTAGCACTAGTTTCATCTGGACACTCGTAATCAAAATGTGTTTTCTTCTTACGTAGCCTAATTTCTTTAAAATTCCTCGGAATGCCCATTTCATCAGCTATTTCATTGGCAGTCACTATACCAGAGTCAAACTCGTTTCTTCTATAATCATCTAGCCAGCATAGAAATACCTCAAAATGTTTCAATGCCGTGTCCAACTGCATATTACACTGTTGCCATACTTTACTAATTAGGTTTATTTTCACTAAAATATCGTACCACACTACCAAAGAAAGTATAAACTCGTACGACAAAATTTCTTATTGTATCGAACTGTATTCACTATAAAATGTTGGATCGCTGCTTATTTCTGACAGTTTTTCTAGGCAATCAGCAATATCTTTTAACTGGTATCGGGCGGTTTTCACACTCTCCACTCTTCATTCCCATCTGGTTTCGGCCAAAGGCTTAACAATAATATTTACTCTTTCTTTTGACACAATCCATCTTTTGGATGAACCAGAAAATAAAGTATACAGCCTTTGTAAAACACCAACACATAATTAGCCTTTGTACAAGACGTTGCTGCATCACCAAGCGCTAAATTCTAACTGTGACATTCTCAAGGTGTCAAAAAGGCTTTAGGATTAATAATTAGTATTCTTGTTTTTACATCACTTTTTTCTACCCGCATGTTACCTCCATTATCGTATCCTTGTCCGCGGCAGTTTTTGAAGTCCAGTCTTAAATTGTTAATTTGTAAAAGTACGCAATTTGTTAATTCTTCATCCGTAGTTTTTTCCTACCAGCATAAATCCGACAAAATGTTCCTCGATGTCTCCTGACTTTTCAGCAACGTGACGCAGTATCGTCGTCATTTGTTCGGTGTGACTTACGTCTGTAGTACAGTCCAGAATTATTGAATAATATTTTGCATGCTGTATGTTTTGAATAATTGCAAGTTTAACATGTTTGGCCATCAATGCTATTAACTCATTTTGAATGTTTTTTTTCTCCAAATAATGGTTATGGAGATTATTATCTTCTATGCGTTGTAAGTGTTCTCGAAGAAGAAGATCAAACTTCGCAGTAAACGTAACCAGGTCTAAGAAGTTTCCACTTCTTTCCTGTTCTAAGCTATACCTATGTCCTCTAAATTTCATGTTATGCAATGCTAAATACTGAATTATGGCCAAGAGTCTTTCCAAAATATCGCGCCAGCGTTGCTTTTCCTGCTGTATTAGATTTAGAATCGCTTTATCAATAGTCTTCCCGCATTTCACTTTCAGCCTCTTTTCTGATTCCAACCATTTCAAGGCACTCTAGGTGATCTGAACCGTTCTCATGAGACTTGAGATGGCTACAGAGGTTCTTTCAATCATTAACGCCGTGATATACTAACACTACACTTGAGGATGAGAACATACACCAGGCAAAACATTATACAGTTTTTGCTTGGAGAGTAAACCAACCCACTCCTTTCATGTTTTCCCTTGTTGTTTAGAATTTTTAATGTATTAACGTTTCAGAATCTTGCTTATCAGAGCATTATTAATATATTATACTCACAGTGAACGGGTGTACTTTGATAATCTTCTCCCTGGGCCAAACCATTTCCCGCATCTTCATTATCATTCTCAATTGCATCTTTAGACTGATTAACTTTTTCTGCCTTTAAATATTTCAACGTTTAACCACGCAACTTTTCTTTGCATTTTTTCAAAGTCGCCGCTTTTGTCTTTTTGCATAACCCGATTCAAATTTTCTGCCCTTGTCACGTTCTCTTCAGCTCTTAGACATTTTTGCGATGGGTATAATCTTATTATTTGTCACTAAACACGGGTAATTCACTATAGGGCAACAACCTTTACAAATTGATCAAGCCTTCTAGTTGTTTTTCCCGTGGGAAACGTACAGAGAAAAAGAAAAAAAAGTCATTTGACAGAGCAAAACCTCTGCTTCCTATTGGTTATAAGTGATATATAACAAAACGTAAGAGAGAACTATTAACAAATCCTGAAAGAGAGGATGTGACAGGAGGAGGTCTCATTTTCTATTTGATAGCTCTGTTACCAAACAAAACTGAGAGTTATAAGAATTAAGATTTGTCTGAGCAAATTGGATTTTATAGGGAGTAGTTTACTTTAAATTTTGCACACATTGAAGGGGCGATAATAAAATAGAGAAGAGAACAAACCCTGAGAAAATGTGTCACGCCCATCATACTAGGGGAAATTCAGAATTTTTATAATATTTCCTTACATAATTAATAACTTAAAACTTATATAATAATAATATGTTGATTATTAGCTAAGATTTTTGCCATGTTAATTGCTTTAACATAAACAAAAAGTAGCTTAATAAAATTTTGAGCATAAAACACATAAGCCCTTGTATCATACCCAGGTGGATAGGGATAATATTGTTGCGTCAGCGAGGTCACGTGACTAGTATCACGTCACCCGTTTTCTAGAAATATCCGGTTCCTTCAAGAATGCCCTAGCATTTAATAGATATGTGTTAGTCTTGTATATATATAAGACGCTCACAACGTGACGGAAGAAGTGAATAAGTAATTGAATGTATGCGGACAAAATATTGTTGGCCACGTGAGACGTCAATTATATTGTTTGTTATAGAGCGACTGTTGAAATTAAGTATATCGTAAAGTTGTATTCGGAAAGAATAAACCAGTTTTATTTAAGAAAGGACTTGTGTCGCTAAAGTTTCGTCGGAACGAATTTACGGAAAAGTAACTAACGAACGAAGATGTAACAATATGCTTTGTTTTCAATACATGTTACGGACTGTGACAACTGAACGTTTATGACAAAGTTAAGAAATACATATTTCTTCATATCCTACAAAATGTTTGTCAAATTGTCATTTTGATATTCACAGATATATATATATATATATATATACACGCTGTCATTAACCAGGCTACTTTAAATTTACACAGTATGTGAATGCTTTTTCTTACTTCTAAGTTTTTCTTAGCCGTTTTGCTTTAGTTTGTTCTATAATTATGATTATTTTTG